TCTTGATACGGGAAAGCTCTCTGGTGGAACCTGTGGTACGTGAAGGAAGGTGAGTGATCTGCACAAACGTAAATACTCTTATCTCACCGAAATCTTGTCGGATTTACAAACGGTTTAAAAATACAGATAAAATACAAAAAAATTAAAATACAAATTGTTGCTGTCCGTGAGAGTGTAACATAATTATCCATAAGTGTTATAACTACACCTCTGACGTTTATAACAAACCAAACTGTTTGAAAATCGGTAGAAAATTGAGCAAGTTATGGTTATTTAAAAAGTACATGCACCACTACACTGGGTGAGTGAGCGGACCGTACCAAGATGGCCGCCAGTGTGGCCGTGCGATTCCATTGGACGAGACATCTAGCCTTTATGATACATACCTATGGTCGAAGTGACACACTTTGCTCAGCATCTTCCCTGCTGTCTCACATTAACTTGTGGCTTCAGAGTTTTGTTGGCTTTGTGCAGAGCCATGTTAGCTGTTAGTCAGCTTTATGCTAAGCTAACTTAATCAACTAATGGCTAAAGCTTTATTTTCATACTGACTAGGACACAAGGATCCTATTCATCTTCCAGCTGCAAGAAGTGTCTTTTCCAAAACTACCACTTTATATGAAACTTGAAAGGAAAAAAAACACCAACTTTTTCTGCAGATGTCTCACCTGTCCCAGAAGGAGGATGTCAGGGTGGATGGATGGACGGATCAACAAAAACAGGACTTTTCCATCTGTTTTCTTCTTGTTTCCTGGCAACAATTAACACCAGTTTATTTTTCTTTCTTTCTTTCTTTCTTTCTTTCTTTCTTTCTTTCTTTCTTTCTTTCTTTCTTTCTTAACCCAAACCAAGTTCCTTTTCCAAAATCTAACCATGTTTTGTGCCTCGGCATTTTCAACCAGAAAAGACTTGGTTCTTAACAGTTTTGAAGTGAAACACCGTCTTACTGATGGAGGCATTAAATTAAAAGGCTTCTGTGCGTCATTTAAGATGGCAGTTTTTTGTTATTTAATAAATTGTCAGGAATACAGGACAACCAAAAGGATTTTTAATGCCATGAAACACTTCATCTTGTTTTTTTGATTATTTGTGACAGCCGTAAGTCTTGGCTGAACCTCCTGCAGGTTAAACTGGGTGAACCAAATACTGTTAATACTGACTGACTATGAAAGCTCTGAAAACACTCACTCTTCTAGAAACATCTCATAATGCAACATTCTCTGTAGAAGACCATGCTCCACCATTGCTGTCTTGTTTAAATACAAGACAACCATCACTGTTTCAACCTCAAAAAAACGATCTTGTCTTACATTTAGATTAGTATGTTTATTTGGGTAGAAAAATTCAAGTCATTAAAATTTAGACATTTGAAACTTTGACTTTAAGACTTTGGTATTCCTCCAAATCTTGCCTACAACCTTGCTTTTAATAGATTTGTGTATGTAGTCTACGAATCAAACCATGAACTGCACCCTTAATTATGATTTACATGTTTTCAGCCCATTGAACGTCGGTTATCAGTCGTCATCAGCTCTTTAATAATGTCTCAGATTGGACAAACTGCACCTATTGGTGGGCCAGAAGGTGCGTATCATCTATTCTCGTTATCGATAAACATAAAGTAAACCAGATTACGCAGACGACCTCTTGTGGTTGTGTGAATAAGTGCCTGTAAAATTTAGTTTACATTATTTTTAGAAACCTAATCTTGCAGTTTTGCTGACAATCCCTAACAAAAGTCTAAAAATAATGGTGTTGCAAAGAAAGCCACTGGCTCATGCCACCTCTGAACCCTTCGCCTCCAAATTTGAACAATTTCATTGAACGTATGCGACCAATCTTCGGCATCGCTACGACTTATTAAGGTGATAGCAGCTACTAGTTACACCTTCTAGCCATACGGGCACGATTCTTATTTTCAGGCGATAACACAGGAACGACAATCTAGTTATGAGTATTATATTCCAGATCCACTTAAATCTCACAGACTGGACCTTTAAGATCAGCTCGTTCACGCCTGCTGTTGAGTCCTGCCACTTTAAGAGATCTACTGTCGGTTCTGGCTTCAGCCGGGAGTCGGGGTGTCGGGCCAAAAAGTGATCATCTGTCACAAAGTGATTGCAGAGAGTAATTATCCTTATGTCTCTCTATTATGTGATCTGCTTTGTGCTCCGGATTATAACCAATCCGCTGCTTTTTACTGATTGAATCGGCTATAAATGACCAATTCAGCTCATACAATGCAGTTTTCCGCTTGATAGAAAGTGACTGCAGCCCGTACATGGTGACCGAAATGTTATCAATGCATAAGAATGATAGTTTGGAACTATGTATATTTTAAATCATAAGGTTTAATTGCAAACTAGACCATTTCTTTATGTTTTATTTGATCTACAAGTTTGATGTCTGGATTCCTGGTTGCGGTTCTACAACATTAATTATTTTATTTCATGCAAAGTGCAATCCATTGCCCTTATAAATGCAATATGTATCGGCATCTGTGGATGTATATGTAATTTTTAGATAGTAATGCTTTCATACATGAGTTATCGTGCTGTTTGTAGTTGTACAGATGGAAAGTAATGTTTAAGTCATCTTAAATTATCTTAAAACCCAACCGTACATTATGTTAATTGCACTCTAAACAAGGATATTCGACTTCCCAAAACGATCAGACACAATTCAATAATATGATCCAGAATCGCAAATGTCAGGCCTGATTAACCACTTTTTTCGTCATTTAGTCGATTACAAGAAACACTTTTTCCGTCTCTACGGATGTAAAGTTGTGCGTTTTGTTGAGATAAAAGCAGCTGTAGACGTTTACAAACTGGAAAAAACAGCTTTAGCAAAAAGAACGCAGTAAGTTTTTTGGCATTAACGGTTTCGTAAATCACTCGATCGTATTGCAGACCGTGGAGCTGATCATTTTTTAACAGCTCAACACGAATAAACCTGCCTCGACGTGCAGGTTTTAGTCGTTTCCTTCACCGCCGTCGTGGATCTCAGTCATTAACCACCGCAGCAATAACCACACCAGACACGTTAATTTCAAACATTTCATTATTTTCTCCACATTAACTTCGAAACAACCTCATAAACCAAAGAGTAAGAAAGAGCATGCTCGGGCATGCAATGATGTCACAACATGATGATGCCACTGGGTGCGAAGTATAAAACATACAGTAGCAGAGAGTTTCTTTTTATATCATTCATAAACTCAGGACATGTCGGTATCCACTGAGAGTTAAAAGCTAGCGTTGTATTTTACACTGCTCTCCACGTCTCACGTAGCCTCGTGTTGCTGGATAAGAGAGACGAGAGGGAGAAACTCACAAACTGACACCAGATTGAGCAGGCTAAACAAACATGCTGAAAAAAATCTCATCCGGCCCAAAACTGAAAAAAATAAAAAAAATAATCGAAACGAAACAAAAAAAAAAAAGAAAATCAAAGAAAAGTGTCTGGAAATGACACTGTTAGAAACCCCATTTTTCCCTTTTTGACTGGGAGACAAAACAGTGCATGCCATTTCGGGGGGAGGAGGAGGGGGAGGGGATGGGGAAGTGTTGGAGGTGGGTGAGGCGACGGGGGAGGAGGAGGAGGGAGGAGGAAGGGAGGGTGGAGGGTCACCTTTCTTTAAATTTGAAGGTTATTTGTCTCCTCTTAAGCCTGCCCACGTGGGGTGTTTTTCGTCGAGGGGTTTTAAATAAAGACAGGAAATGAATAAATACGAGGCACTCAGCATTCTCTCTGTTCTTGCAAACTGCAAAAAAGTAACAAACTTGAATAATAATGACACATACACATATATAGTAGAATTAGTGGTTATAACATAACAGTCTCAAGGCTGTACAAAGGGGCAAGGCTGAATCCTCCTCAGTTTGTCAGCAGTTAAATGTGTTTTATGTTTCCTTTTTTTTTTTTGTTGTTGTATTTTTTATTTTTTTTTAAAGTTTGCGTGCGAATGTGTGTAGTGTGTAGTGTGTGTGTAGTGTGTGTGTGTGGTACGACATAAAATTTCCCACTTCACTTATAATAAATTCAGGAAGTTTCCTGGAGGATTAGACTTGGTCGCTGACATTTGATTTCAAACGTGAATCTGTGTGTTGTTTTTTTTTGTTTTTTTTGTTTTTTCTCTTTCTTCGATTCTGCGATTTTGGTTGGAAAACGTGAAAGTGGAGCGGTGGTGGTGGTGTTGGTGGAGGTGGAGGTGGTGGCGGCGGCGCAGTGACACAAACGGGATGGAGTGCGCACAAATGAAGACGGAACAGTGATGTTAAAGGGATAGAAAATGCACTTTTTAAAACCTCACACAGCCTCATGCAATGGTTGTGTGTGTCTGTGTAGTTTGGAAAAAGAAAACAAACCCAAAAAAAAGAAATAAAAGAATAATGACGGAGCCCTTTAAAATGGATCTACTCTTGCAGCATAGTTCTGTACGTAGCGCATAGTGCGAATAGAGACTGGTGGATCGGACTGGAAAAGGGGGAAAAAGGAGTTCGAAGGCAAAGAGGGGAGGTGTTGGGATGGAGTGTGTTCTCTTGGTTAGCATGTTTTCTCATGATAACCAGGAAACAAAGGAGGGGGGGTTAGGTTGCTATATTCTCGTCTAGACTGGTGGAAAAATGGGCAACACTGCCTGTGCCATCTCCAGTCCATTGACCTGTCGGTGATGGACAACAACCATGCACCAGTTTAAAGCTGCACTCTTTTACTTCCTCTTACCACCTCTTTCTTTTCCCCTATATGGTTTGCAAGCTCGAAAAAAAAAAAAGAAAAAAAAAAAAGCATTTGAAAAGGAACAGTGCTTTTGTAGGAACTGAAAAGGGCTTGAACAGAGGTGAAAAGACCGGTAGCAACAATAGAAAGGCTCTGCTGTGTCCGTCACTCGGGCTGCGGGCTCCAGTCGAATAGGCAGAATGTCCGTCTCAGTAAGTAATAATATAATATACCGTAGTTATCAATAAGTCTTAGTAGATCATCATACCTGTATAAGCTTAAATAAAGAAGTGAATGAAAAGAATGGCTACTCCAATATTGAGTAAAATGACCATAACCACCAGAATAGAGCTGGAGCCCTGCAAGACAAGAGAGGAGAGAAGAAGAAGAAGAAGAAGAAGAAGGAGTTAGTCCAGTTACTGAAAACAAATGCAGCTACACTCAAGTCAAGATGATAAAATAGAAATATGAGCCAAAGATTCCACTGTAGCAGACAGACGGTAATTACAAAGTGATCAATTGTGAGTTGATGCAGCTTCATATGCATCAACACGTAAACGTCACACTAACAGAACACGTTATTCATTGACATTAATGTTATTAACGACTTTCTACATGCAGATTTCTACTCTGAGTTGACTTAAAAGAGTCGTAAAACAGGAAATCCCATTTATCTTTCACGCAAATCCAAAACTCTGTTAGAAAACATCATGTTCTTTGATAAAAAAGTCAAAACTTGTGGACATAATAGTCAACTACGACTCCCACCATGCATTTCAGCAAAACACATCCAATCACAGAGCTTAATACTGTGTCATGTGACCAGGAAAGAGCCATGAGAAAACAGAAAGCACAGTTTTCTGCATAATTTTTTAGAGTCCAAACAATCATTTTAAATTAGTCAGGTAATTTGTCATGCATATGATATTGTAGGGTCTTAACTTTAATATTTGAAGGTGTTAAGTGAATCCGTAATGCTAATTTAAATTTTTGAAGGGACTTTGACTCAACATTTGCTGCTATTAATATGCCTCGACTTGACAATCTGCAGCTTAAACTTCTCAGTTTCACCCATTTTATAGCAAAAATGTAATTAAACCGGCTGTGTCTCCTGAACCACATTGACTATATGCATAAATCAGGTCCTTACAGGAAGGAAACACATTAAAGTTTCTTGTAGAAGTATCAGAAACATAACATTTTAAATATACCAACAAGAGTTTGCCTCAAATTTGAAAACAACACAAGTTTTTATAGTAGATTTCCCAAAAGGACATGCTGTGCTCCTGAAAAATGTACATAACAATGTGTATAACTGTGTAATAACCATTAGCGATGCAAAAGTAAGCCTTCAGTTTCTGGGACTCTGGGGCTTTACAGAGGGTCAGAATGATGCTCAACAAGGCATGTTTAGGCCTCACTGGTGTGACTGATGTGTAAATTACATTTAAATTGATGCGTTTTTTTTGTAAACCAAAGTTCCTCCTCATTACAACGACGCCACTCGTGTTAATTTTTACTGAAGAGGTGTGACGTAGGGAGGTGAGAACAGGGAGGGGGGGTCTCTTCATCTACACAGTAACGGAGACTGAGGCTCATGGGTGTTGTAGTGTTCAAAGGCTTGTTGCATCATCCAGGACGTGTACCGTTGTCAAATAACAAAACTGCAAACACAGATATCTTTGGTGTCAGCCAACATAAAAACACAGGGCCTTCCTGGATAATGTAAAGATCATACAGCTTTAAATGTGTTCTAGTCAGTCTGTAATGGCAGATGAGGCTGAACACTACAATACCCAGAAGCCTGTTGCATAGATGGATGATGAGCCAGACATTGAAAAGGCCTCCTCACCTCCTCATAGAGGAACACACACTCAAAACGACAGCTTTTCTTTGAATATGCATTTTACATCTCCTCACAGCTGGTTTTTTTTTTTTTTGTCTCTTCAGTTGTTTTGAGCTTCTGTGATCATTTTAAGTCACTCTGTTGATGTTTTGAGTCTCTTTGCAGTAATTTTGTGTCTCTGTTGTCATTTTGCATGTCTCAGCGGTCATGTTGTGTCTCTTTGTATTAATTTTGTGTCTCTTTGTCCTTGTTTTGTGCCTCTTTAGGGTCATTTTAAGTCTTTTTTGTAGTCAGTTTGTGTCTCTTTGTAGGTGTTTTGAGTGATTATCAGTGTCTTTGTTGTCATGATGCACCTTTTCATAGTCGTTTTGAGTCTCTTCCTAGTCATGTAGTGTCTTGTAGTAGTTTTGGACTTCGTAGTCATTTTGTGTCTCTTTGTGCTCATTAAGTTTCTCTTTGTGATAATTATGTGTCGTTTTCTAATCACTTTGAGTCTTTTTCTTTTCTCATGCTATGTCTCTGTAGGTGTTTTCAGCCTCTGTGGTCACCGTCAGTCTCTTGGGGGTCATTTTGCACCTCTTTGTAGTAATTTTGAGTCTCTTCCTGTTCATGTTGTGTCTTTTTGAGGTCATTTTTGCTGTCATTTTATTAATTCCCTTTGTAGTTGTTTTGTCTCAGAGTCTCTTTGCAGTCATTTTGCATCTTGTTTTGGTAAATTTAATGACCTAAATGACTAATGTTAACCGTCATTTCAAACACAAAGGAACCCAGGGGGTTGGGTATTACACACCCCTCTTTTGCTTGCTGCTGTGGATAAGTATACGATAATCTTTAGTGTCTACGTCGCTCGCTGACTGGAGCGGTTAATTTCTCTGCATCTGTTAAAAATCTACAGGCTTGTAATTTTCACTTTTTCTCAAAGAACTGGACATTTTCACACAGTTTTTCATCTTTTGTGCTGATGATTCAACCTGGAAGGGTTTTATGTCCATCTGCTCCTGGAAGAGTAATCAACTGTCACTTATCTAACACTGTCTCTGCAAGAATCCAAAACCTTCTCCATGTTTATCTGATGTCAAACTCATGAGTCACGCCGTACTCATCGCTCTCACTTTCACCCTTCACAAAACACTGTTTTCACTCCCTGATTTATTCCACTTCTCTAAAGTTGTCGATCACTGTTAGGCCACCATGAATAAAACTCTTTCAAACTTTGCCACAGTGAAAGTTTTAAAACCTTCAGACCTGTAGGTTTTTAATGTAAAAAATCTTGAGTTTAGTCGACATTGGCTTAACATTTGTTGCATCCTATTCAGGACTTTTGGGCTCTTTTGGACCCCAGGCCATTTGGTTTAGGTTATTTTTTTATTTTTATTTTTTTAATGTTTTTGAAGTTTCTTTTTTTTTTAATATAAAAAGAGGGACCTTTGTCATGCATTTTGAACCAAAAATACATCAACTTATCACACAATTTATTTAACATAGTATAAAACTCTATAACGAATACCAACAAATGTTTTGCACATATTCTTTCTTGGTGTCCAATGGACCCGGAAAGACCTTCTACGTATGGCAACATGAAAGTCCTGAATAGGGTTAGCTAGGATTAACTGATGACGGAAACTGGAGCTTCTACTTTGGGTAAATGTTAAATCCATGACTTTTGCCTGTAAAGATAAACTAAATTCTTCATTATGGTTTTGTTACTTTTACTTAAATAAAATATGTGAGTACCTATCCTACCATTATTGGTGTTGCCTTTTGCATTTCCCACATGTTTATCAGCATCCTACAATGAAAACTATAATGACAACAGTGGGTTAAATTTATGAGTTAGTGCTACAGGCCTCCAGTCAAACAGAGGTGTGTGGACTCACTGAGTTTGATTTGAGGGTGAGATGCTCTCCTTCCTGCTCCAGAGTGATGGGCTGAGACTTTAGGGGTGGGGAGAGGGTGAGGTCCCTGTGCAGCGGCCACTCCTCCAGCTCTGCCCCCACATTCAGGTTGTCCAGCATCTGTACAGAGTCCATGGATCCCTCTCTGACCGGCCGAAGGCCTCGGGATCGCAGCCGGTTGTTTTTGGGGGCCGGGGACTCCTGGCCGAGCCCCCGAGACGCCTGCGAGTCCGGACACTGGAGCCTCATGTCCACCGTATAGTCATTCATCCTCTCCTCGTCCTGCTCCGTGAGGCGCGAGTGGGCAGGGCTCCACCTAAGGGTGCTTTCAGCAGTCCAGCCCCCGGTGAGGCCGTCTAGCCTTTGGTCGATTACAGCATGCTCGTTAAGCCTGTGGTTGGAGGGGTTGTGCTGCTTTGGATGGTGGTTGGAGTAGACATGCTCTCGGGGGTTGTAGCTAGAAGAGACGTGGTCCTTTGCATTGTGATTGGAGGAGATATAATCTTGGGACTTGTGATTGGAAGAAGCATGCTCATAAGTCTTGTGATTGGACATGTTATGTTCCAAGGCCTTGTGATTGGATAAAATGTGCACCTGCGGCTTGTAGTTGGAAGAGGCATGCTCGCAGGCCTTGTGATTGGTGGAAGAATGATCCCATGTTTTGTGATTGGACGACGAGTACTCCCTCGACTTGTGATTGGAAGAGGCATGCTTGGAGGGCTTTTGGTTGGATAGGGAGTGCTCCCACGCTCGGTAGGAGGAAGCGTGCTCCCGGGACTTGTGATTGGACAGGGATTTCTCCCGCGGTTTGTGGTTGGGTAAAGGGGCTTGCTCGTGGCCGTTGATTTGGCCCTCCTGCTCCTCCAGCAGGGAGGGCGTGGTGGAGCGGCTGCTGCCTCCTCGGTCCGGATACATGTCATCAGTCCAGTTGTTGGCCCCTCCCCTGGGCAGCTCCATGCCCCGCCCCTCCACCAGCACCTGGATCTCCGCCCCGCCCTGATCGTCCACGGCGCTCTGGCGCATGAAGCAAGCATTTCTGGGGCGGTGGGCGTGTTTGGGCGGGCTGTGGGGGGGCGAGGTGGGCACGCTCAGCACGGGACTGAGATCAGGTGTTATTACAGGCGGCGTGGTGTCCGGAGTGCACAGCTCCGGACTGTCTGTTCCTGTGGAGATGACCTCATGGTCTTTGTCCTTGGCGTCCTGGTGCTTGGGCCTCTGACATTCGAGCCCTACGAGAACAGTAGGAAGAAGAGCGCCGGTGAAGTGATTTGGCAGCAATCCATGGCAAAAACCTACAGTGTGAGTGTGTTTGAGTGTTATTGGCATGCAGAGCAACAAAAGCAGAGCAGAGCTGCAGACAAACTGGATCTTGTGCTGCTGGCTTAGAGAGGATTATGGAAGCGAATATACTTGATTTAATTTGAATTCTCACAGGCTAATCCTTTGTAGTTTGGTGTTTGTTGTGGGATGAAAATATGTATAGTAACACTGAGCCTAGCTCACACTATACAGCAAGCACACGCATTTGAAATATATCTTATTAAGTTCAGATACTTATCCGTGCCTTTATATAGATTTTACAATAAGATAATGAGTGCAGTTGCATAATTTAGTCACGACTCATGACTAATTGTTACAAAGCAGGTCTCTGTGGGGAAATTTAAAAGGCAGATTACAATAGAAGCAGTGAAGCTGAGAAAAAAGGGTTTAAAGTTTTCAGGCTGGACGGCGCACTGCAAACACATTGGAAGGTTGTAATGCTTTTATTTTGTCTTTATAGACTGATAATTTGCCTCCCGAAAACAATTTGCCATGGATCCAAACTACATAGCTAAAACCTGCGGATACTGCACAAAAGAAGTTAAATTCACTACACAGACAAAATATACCAAGTACACATACTAGATATTAGTTTTTATCTCTGTTGTGTAGTTACTACAATATATAAAGGATGTTTACACTGATTATAATATTTTTGAAAACAGATGTCTGAAAGTCAGATACAGGCTCGAGACCAGTTTTGGCAGATATTTAAACATTTCTTAGTCAAATTGCGTAACAGAAATTTAATTGACAAGGCTTTAATTTTATGCCTTTCAAGGATGATTATCAATATTTTACAAAAACCTTTAAAGTTTTGAAATCAATCTAAAGGCTGCAGGAAAAACACAATTCCTACAAACACAGTATGTTGTAACAGCTTTGAACCAATGAGCTACTTTAAAATAATATACTTTTAATTAAATACATTTAAATGTATGATGATAGAAGTCGTTTAATGAAATTAACTAGTACACTGGTTGCACTAGTTTGCTTTAAGTGTACCAGGTGTTATTTTTTTCCTGTAATAATTAGATTTCGCTGCAGAGTTATGTGTGTGATATAATGTAATCTTTGCTTTCACCACATTTCTATTATATCATTATGTTGACATGATAAAATCTCAAAAAGTGAGAATCAGGTCTCAGGTTTGACCACATATGTGTTTTTGCTTTTTTAGGGCAGCTGAAAGTTAAGTTGAAGTTTACTGTAACTAAAATTCGACCCACTTCTTGGACTCTGGTTCACTCACCATTGCCATAGATGTGAAAGGAGGGCGAGAGCTCTTTGGCAGCTATCCGGGCCAGTCGACACTCCTCCATGGCCTTCTGCGCCACTCCTTCAGCCGCCTCGGCCTTCCCACGAGCGTGGCTCATCCTAAACAGGACAGGGACAGACGCTGCAGTGAGAAGCACTGAAGATTTAAAGGTTATTGATTCTGTATCTGTGGAGTTCTGCTTCATTTGACCTCATTTGACACTAAAATTGCTCTCCTCCATCCAGGAGAGGAAATCAGATTATTGAATCTCAGCACATTGATTTGTCCATGTCCTTTGTTTCTCTCGTCTTGTTTTTGACATTTTGTTGTTGTCAACAGAGAAGAAAATGGACTGGCAGGGAGGTGAAAATGTTTAACTGACAGGCTAAAAGGTATGAATGTAAGATTTTAATTTAACAAAACAAATACACTCGCATGTCACGATTCAACATGTATTTTTTGTGCAACAACAATAATGTAAGTGTTTCTGCATAATGTTCTTCATGGTATCAGGTCAGAAATGGTGAATGATTTTTGCACATATGATGTTTTTTTAAAAATGTATTAAATTTTGTGAATCTCTGTGAATCTCAGAAATAATCCCATAAATGGTATCCACCCCTGCATCCCTGTTAAAGTTTTTTATTTGATATCATATATTTTCGAAAAATGAAAAATGTCAGTGTTCAAGACTAAACAGAAGATTGTATTACAAAATTACAGATGTAGTCCGTTTATGCTCCTCACAAAAATAAATTATTTCAAGAGCAAATAGTCAAGAAATTAAAATACAAATGCTGAAGTTGCTTTCTCTTGTGCAAAATCCCCTCCAGGGAAGGTAGATTACTGAAGCTTAGACAGTTACTAGTCAACATCTTGAAGCATTTAATACATTAATTTGGCTGCATTCTTTTTCTTTTTTTTTCTCTTGTCTTGTTTTGGATGTTTTGTTGGTGTTGATGGAGAACAAAATGGACTGACACAAAGCTAAAAAAACAAATGTTTAAGTTACAGGTTGTAGCTTTAAGGAGTGACTTTATATTGGAAATTTCTCCCAAAAACTGAAAAACAAACTTGCACAAGCAGTGCTAGTATTTTTGTCTGTAAATCCAACAATAAATACTTCAGCGTGATGATAAAATGATTTGTTAAACGATGAAATCAGTGAATGAACAATGGATTTTTAAATTTAAAATGAATTTATTTTTTGTAGTTTCTTTGCTGCATCCGTGTTCAAGCTGTTGATGTTTTTCTCTGTGATATTAAACATTCATGACACTGAGGAAATATTTATAAAGAGTGTAGCACAAAAACATGGCCGGATTCGCCTTGTGAGCAGTCCATGGGCCAACATTTGCACTGGGCCCCCACAGACCCTCCCTGCTGCCTCCAAGTTCACTTCAAGTCCTGCAATCAAACCTGCTGAGCCGAAACTAAATAAATAATAAACAAATCAGAGTTCAGATAATCACTGGGCACCTTAGTTGGCAATCAAAAACTCATCTGATTGGTGTACAGAATTGTGTGACGCCATCTTTGTCAGACATGTCGCTGCCCACTGTTGCTATAAAACTATGCGTACGTCTTACCTTGACATTGCGATCTCTGCCTTCTGCTTGGCGATTTCCGCGGCCTTCTCGGCAGCCTCCACCGCCCGGTCCACCTTCTCTCGGATCTTACTGGCCCTCAGTGGGATCAGGTTCTTGCGTTTTCCGCTCACCAGCACGTTCTGCTTGTACTTCCCTTCCTCCTTGGTGCCGTCGGGGAAGGTGGTGCATCCATATCCGTGCCTCTTGTTCCCCGCCCATTCGCCAGCGTAATGCAGGCCGTCTGAACGCCGACTCACGCCCCAGCCAGCCCTCTGGTCACTCCGCCACTCTCCGGCATACATCTCAGTGACGGTGGCGTCCACGGGGGCGCCCTGTTCATTCTCGCTGGCGTTGGAGTGGATGTCGGACGCCGCAGAGCTGACGGTGCTCATGCCGGCCTCGCTGCAGAAGGAGCTCTGCTTGCTGAGCTGACTGGCCAGAGAGCTTTTGGACTCGGAGCGCCGAAGCTTCAGGCCGCTCAGGATGGACTGCCGGAAGCGTCCTTTCCGCTTCCTTTGGCGTTCGGCCTCGCTTGGAGCTGTCAGGGCGAAGCCGCCTCTGCCCACCGGGCTCCCCGCCAGCCCGGCCACCACCCCGTCTGTCGGCGTGGTGGCAGCGCCATCCTCCAGCACAGCCGGAGGGCCGTGGCTGTGCTCAGAGCGCAGGGAGTTTATGGATGTTCGCAGGGGGAAGAGGATGACAGCCGCCATGCCGTACGGTACGCTCTGCCGTACACCGTAACCATGACGCATCCCTCCCAGCCACTGGCCTTGGTAGGTTCCTGAAAGACAGACAGAGAAACAGCAAGTGTCAGACATATAGATGCCAAAATAAATTGTGCATTTCTCACCAGTCCAGGTCTGAAATCTTAATGTGCTACTGAGTGCTACTGAGCTTCGGTATGCTCATTATACTGGATTTAGACTTCAGGTATAAGTCTGCCACATGTTTCATATGGTTTCTTCTTCCCCTTCCATTATCTATGTGTCACTAATATCTAAGTCCCCTTTTCGACGGGAAACAACAACTCCCAAGCAGCAACCTGCACACTGAAAATAACAGGTTTTGATGAAGCGTTGTGCAATAAGGCAGGCCTACTTGTTTCTTTCACTGAATTTTCCATTTTTAATGCCAATGCTTGCCTCTCTACAAGCAATTGCTCAACCAAAACAATTCCCATTTACAATGCATTGATAAATCCTATTCCCTGTTTTGCTGGGGCACCATCACTGCATCCTGGGCTTAGCGCCACCCAACACAATTCTGATTGATTTAAAGCAATACAAACAACCCAGAATATTTTTTCCCCTGTAGCTGAATGATAATGAGGTACAGCCAGACCATTCTCTAGTGCTCAAGCAGAGCTGTGGAGATAGACCATATACCAGTATTTAACTGCTACAAAGCTGCATCGGAACCCCAAAACCTTCCAACAGGTTTCATGTGCATTTTATTTTTAAGAAACCCAAATGACACCATTTGTCAGAGAAAGAAACTATAAAAACAGAGCAAATTGTACAATTATCAGCTTTAAAGTTAACAAATCATGTCAGATGTGCTGCTACATTTGGAAAATTTAGCAAATCTAAGCTTAAAATCACAATATTTGATCAAGATCACGCTATTCTATATGTCTCATTTAAACATTTGTATCAGATCATGTAAAAAACAAAAAACACTCTGTGTCCCTCGACCCAACTGACAACTTTTTGGCTGAACTGCAGGGCTGTGTATCCACAAAGAGAGACATGTATAGAAACAAAGTAAACACGTAAATAGTAAAATATCTATAGTATGTAGAGTCACCTATTTTTCAGTATGTCTGGCCATGGTTGTGTTGTTTCCATAGAGGTGCAGGACTTTATATATGAACCTAAAGAGAGTAAAAATGCGACAGCAACAAGAAACACCCAGAAACCCAGGAGTTCAGAGGGTTAAATTACAACCAGTTGTAGCCTCAAAAGTTCCATTAAATGAAACAGAAGCTCAACACTAAAAGCTTCTCAAGGTTACGGCTGAATGCAGGACTCACTGGAGATTTTACAACTTTCTATCAGCCTAAAAATGTTTCCCCTCATGTGGACTCAGGGAAGAGACACAGATAATAAACCTCAATCTTCCTCGAGTCGTGCGAGGAAGACGTTCGGAGGCGAGCGACTGATACGAAAGATTTGTGTTTATCCGGTGTTATGTGAATGCCAGGAATAAAATCTGTAAAGTACTACAATGCCAAACTGAGGCATATTGGCACAACATTAAAGCTGTGAAAATAAATAAAGGAAACACTTGAAATAAACCCAGTTATTTGGTATTTTTCAGACTACAGTGTGGCATGTATGTACTTTGTAAAAGCAGGCCAATGCGTGGTGTTTACTGGGGGAATGTTATGCCTGAGCTGTTAAAGGTTTAGCGGATTAGATGGAGGTAGATGCTGCAACTCAAAGAGAGGACTGTTGTTACTTTGAAATGTCCTCTCCATCTACACCACAAGAAAAAAAAAAAAAACCTTGACGCCCAGACCTCCTGGAAGCAGGCGACCTCCCGGGAGAAACTTTCAAACACAGCTCTAGTCTGAGGTCTTACACCCGCCATCCTCTCCTCAAATCCCGGCGGTGTTTCGAACAAGAGGTGAAGCAGCTCCAGAGTCAGTTTCATGTTTCTGGGCAGGAAACTCGACAGCCTCCTGTTCACCTCGCCAGCTTGTCAGATTCACTTACAGCGGAGCTCGGCTGCTCCTGCTGACGAAGCTGAGAGTATTTTTTTTGTTGTTGTGAGAGATGTTTTAACAGCTGTCTACACTCGCTTCATGCAATTTGGGCTCAGCGTGTCCTGCTACTACTGACTCAGTGTTAAAAGTAATCAATCAGGCAAGGTGACTGAAACTGGAGCTGCGAGTAACGATTATTTGCTCAATTAAATGGGCAGTCTCTAAAAATACAATAAAGTTGTGTCTTCAAATTGCTCCTTTTGTCCAAACAGCATCCAAAAAGTCAAAGATATTCAGTTTAAGGGTGATACAAATGAGAGCAAAACTGCAAATTGTTCAGAGAATGTGAGTCTTTGCTTGACAACTAACTCAAATAATAAATAGGTTATCAAACTAGTAGGCGAATAATCAAACTTGGAATAAATAAATTTAGCTGTAATTGCACCTACAGCCACTGACCATTAATAGTGAACTTGGACAATAACACTGGTTAAAATGTTACCATTGTATAAATTATGTTTTCCACATTTCAAACCTGGAGTTATGAGGTGCTTTACAAACACAACAACAATAGAACATTAAAAATGACATTTGAAAACATTGTACAAATGATTAAAAGCAGACAAAACCTAGTAAAGATTGCCACGTGTTGATTTTTATTCTATAGCACCTGTAGTTTTAATACAATATCCTTTCTGTTTGGCCCAAATTGACAAATTATCACGTCAGAATGAGCTTTCTTATGAGCACACAAATCATAAATTTGTGCTGTTAAATTCATATTTGCATGAAAAGTCAAGTTTCACAAGAGTTTGTTCCTACGTACAGAATGAAGAAACAAGAAAGGCAAACAATTTACAATTTAAATATTATGGTATTTTAAAGCACAATTATATTAAAGCCAAATCGCTCATTACCTTACATTAACACTGTTGATTTTGCACTGCTAACCTCTGATCTTTCTGCAGCCACTGGGGGGCGCCACATATGTTCGCAAACAGTTACTTACACACCTAGCAGAATCATGGTAACATAAACATTCATGTGGAGTCGTGTTTGTGTTTTGCCTGATAACTCTGTTTACTCTATTTTAGCTCCATTTTGGGTCTCCACCAGCTACAGAGAAAAATCTGCTTCTTTAGCCGCAACACACAAAAATGTGAGTTTGTTAATTGTTTCTGAACATTGAGCAAAGTTAGCTGGTGACTACGAGTTTATAAAAGGTAGAGCACTGACAGCAAACCAAGACGATAAATTTGGCATAACAGAGTTTCTCCAGAACACATTTGCCTCTTTTGAAGTGAACAAGCAGATATCTCAGTATTAAACCTTCATAGATATTCTTACATAAAATACATTTTATTTAATTTCCTAACATGTTCCTATCAATTTCATATCAGGCTGTAGTTTAGTGACACATGCATTTGTCCTGCACTTTAAAAAAAAAAGGGGTTCATGAAGCGTCAGACAATGCAACAGTAGGATACCCAGATAATTGTTGCATAACAACAAATAAGATAAAGGTCAAAGATAAGACTAGAGACACAGAAATGAAAAATGCAATATGTCAATAATGTTAATAAATACAAGTAAAATAATTAAAGCAAAAAACCTTAATCATCAGGTGAAGTCTCTGCTTCCAACATAAAAGATTTAAAACAACCGCCGCTGAGTCAAAGTGCTTTCCGACAGAGAAATAAGAATAGCAAAACAAATTTACCGAACAAGACCCTACAGTGCTATTTAGTTTGCCTGACTATTTTACATTTTAAAGTTCAGACACTGCAATAAAAAATCCCAGGATTTAGCACACCCACAGCAGTCGCCTCTCTCTGCAGGTGGTCGGCCCACTGAGCCCAATAAATACTAAATAGTAGACTTAATAGAAAGTGTTAAGTGAGTTAAGGTTGGCTCCATGTTGTTGTTTTGCCGCTGTACCTTATTTCAAGCGACGTGCTTCATTAGGCTCTTTGAATTATTCTTTTGACTCCTCATCTCAGACCAGTTTGCACTGAAAGAAGGCGCTACCGCCCCCAACAACATATCTGTCAGGGTCAAAGAGACACACAAACCCCCCTACAGGGCCAAAGCGTCGATTCTTCAGGGTGGTATTAAATATCTCATCTGGCCTGGGAACACCTCAGGAGCTGGAAATCGTTTCTGCGGTGAGGCTGCTGCCGCTGACTGGGTGGGTGTGGTTACATGTCAGTGACTTTACTGATGTCGACTATCAATCTGCTTTGCTCGAAGGTCGGGATTGTTGTACATACAGCTTTTAAAAGAATGGGCCGATTACTTTGTAGGAAAAGGTGTGAGTTTGGTTGTCATCAGTGCATTGTTTGATTCAACACAAAGTTGCAGACAGTCAGCTTACAGGCCAAAGAGAAACAGCGTTTGATGAAGATTTTTCTCTTGTTCCAAACTGCATTTTACTCTCATGTTGTTGGTGTCACATCCACATATCTTAACATGTCTTAAAACCCATTTTTCAAGTTTAGTATTTGGTGATAAAGTAAGAAAAGATAAAACTTTTTTAATCCTAGAGGAAATTCTTGTAGGAAAGCCTGTGTTTCTCTAGTTTAGAGTATTTTTATTCTGGCAAGGTGACTACATGAAGAGTTGTTGGAGGTAGCAGTGTGCGAGCTAAATTCACTTTATGTTTGATGTAAGCTGCTGGACCACGAAGCACAACAGAAATGCTCGAAGCTGCAAAAAATGATAACAGCTTGTAGACGATGGTGAATCAGCCTGTAGCTTTCCAAATTCGCAGTTTGATTGGCATCTGTCGGGTCATCTTCACTCAACAGTGACGTAGTTTACTGTATGCTAACTGCCAAATTACTGTGAGTATTAGTATGTAGTTCTACTGTATGTAGTTCCTACTGGTGCTGTCTGTGGTGCTGAAACTATGCTAACTGCCAAATTACTGTGAGTATTAGTATGTAGTTCTACTGTATGTAGTTCCTACTGGTGCTGTCTGTGGTGCTGAAACCAAACAACTGCTGCTGTCCCAAATGCTGACATTTTTTATTTCTTTTTTCCCCATTTGCAGACCTCTCAACACCATCCATTATCATTTCATTGGTGATAGTGTGTGTGCGTGTGTGTGTGTGTGTGTGTACATATACACATATACATATATTTATTTATTTTTATTTTTATAATTTTTTTTCTCTTAATTCCTAAATCGTAATCCTTCGGAAACCCATTCAAGCCTCCAAAAGCCCTAAAACAGGATTACCGTGTCCCAATTTCATGCATACTAGTAGTATTATAGAGCATTTTCTGTCATCTAATTTCATAGGATGCTGTTTTTGCAGTTGGTATAAAAGAAAGTGTCGTCTACAAAAACAGGGCGTGACTTACTGAACTCCAGAAAAGAAAAAAAAAGAAAATGAAAACAGACAGCGTAAATGCTGCAATTTCTTTTAAGCTTCAAACAGCTCCTCCATTTACCTTTCTTCTCTAGCAGCACATTCAAACATACATTTTAAACTTTGTAATTTTAAGCCTTTTTTTTGCCTTAAAAACCAAGGTCAGTGTGTCATTTCAACCTTGTGTCTGTCATCATTTTTGTTTCTTTGCCTCTTCAGTTGTGTGTGTGTTTTGTGTCTCTTTGTGGTTATTTTGCATCTTTTTGAAGCCATTTTGCTTTTCTTTTGTGCCTCATTGCGGTTGTTTTCCATCGCTTTGCAGTCATTTGTGTCTCCTTGTGGTTAGTATGTGTCTCTTTGTAGTTGTTTTTTGTCTCTTTAAAGTCAGTTTACTTTATTTTGCAGTTGTTTAGCATCCCATTGCATTACGTCTGCATCTCTTTGTGGTCATTTGAGTTTCCTTGTGGTTGCTTTGTAGTCATTTTTGTCTCTTTCTCTCTCGATTTCTTTTTTTTGTTTGCATGTGTTCTTAGTCTCTTCTTGTAGTTACGCATCTCATTGAAACTAAATTATACTTCCTGTGTGTACCTACAAGAGTATTAAAATACAAACTGAGTCCTAAAAACAAACCTTGTGTCTCTACTGAACCAAACTCCAGTCAGAAATCGAGCATTTTCTCCACCAACGCTGGTCCTGTGTCTTTCCTCTGATCCGGAGCTGTCCGCGGTGCTGAAACCAAACCGGGACTGCCTGCTGCTCGCACGAGGCTGCCTGTGGCCTATAATGTGGTCTTATTATTAGGCTGTTATCATTTTTAATGAGCGCTCGCTCTGTTGACAGGCAGCCAGTGTGTGTGTGTGTGTGTGTGTGTGTGTGTGTTGGAGGAAACCTGCACATTTATTGGGTTGTGGAAAATGTGTCAGCTCGTGCGTGCTATATTCATCTGTCGGCGGTCTTCCACGTGAGCGGAAATGAGGAGCTGTCGCGTGACGCAGTATCTTTTCTCCTCTCTACACCGTCTCTAAACAGAGCTTGCAAACGGCTGCAGCTTTAAAGCTCTTGCTGGCAGCCGGTTAAAATATTTCCGACCTCCAGCAACGACACGCACCATGTTTTATAATTCCGCCTGCATCTCTCAGTGACCTCCATCATCCGGGTCCCTGAAGGCGGGGCTTTGCTTATCAAACGGCCTACATTACAAGTGAGGAAAAACAGAGACTGACAGCAGCGGAGAGCCAATCAGAGAGCAGCAGAGCCTCGAGCTGGTCTCCAGTGACACGCTGACCTGCTGTCTCCACGTTGCCATGGAGACCTTGCATCACAGAGGAGTGATGCAGGGGGAGAAGGTGTGTTTTGATAAGAGTGTGTTTCTAAACAGCAGTGATGGTTTAATTTCTAATATTAGACACACGTCCTGTTTTTTTTACAGACGTTGTGAGTCTGTTGTTTATTAATCGCACACTGGAGGCAGGTGGAGGTCCCTGATACACAAACCTTCACACACAGCCTCACAACACCTCCACATATATCCTCACAACACCTCCACACACAGCCTCACAACACCTCCACATATATCCTCACAACACCTCCACACACAGCCTCACAACACCTCCACACACAGCCTCACAACACCTCCACACACAGCCTTACAAAAACCTCCACACATAACCACACAACACCTCAACGCACAGCCTCACAACACCTTAATGCACAACCTCAGAACACCTTCACACACAACAGTCTCACTAAATGTCCACACACAACAGCAACACAACACAAACAGCCTTATAACACTTCACACAACCACACAACACCTTCACACACAGTCTCAATGCATGCACAGCCTCACAACACACACAGTCTCACAACACCGTCACACACAGCCTCACAAAATCTAGACACACAGCCTCACAACACACACTGCCTCACTACACACACACAACCTCACAACACCGTCACACACAGCCTCACAACACCTTTAAAAATAGTCATGCAATACTTTCACACACAACCCTTATAACACCTCCACACACAGCCACACAACACCTAAACACAATCACACAACACCTTTACACACAACCTCGAAACACCTCCACACACAGCCTCACAACACATTTTAAAATAGTCACACAACACTTTCACACACAACCTCCAAACACCTCCACACACAGCCTCACAACATCTAAACACAATCACACAACACCTCCATATAAAGCCTCACAACAGTTCTACATACAACTGTTTGTATTTAATTCCTGTCTCTAAATTTTTTGCGGTTGTTTCGTGCGTCTGCGGTCGTCTTGATATGGTTAGTTACATCATCTTTGTGTGCCTCATTGTAGTCATTTGTATCTGTTTGTGGATTATTTGTGTCTCCTTTCAGTCATTTTACTTTACTTTGTAGTTGTTTGACTTGTTTCTGTGGTTGTTTGGCATCTCTTTGTAGTCGTTTTTGTCTCTTTTTCTCTTGATTTTTTGTGTCTTTTGTCAATGTCTCTCTTTGAGGTTCAATTTGTGGGTTTTCTGTGGTCGTTTTGTGTCTTTGCAGTCAATTCACTGTAGTTGTTCACCTTTTACTGTGTCTTTAGAGTCATCCATATTTCTTTTTGGTAATTTTATGTCTATTTATAATCATTTTGTTTTTCTTTGCGTTTGTTTTGCGTTGTAGTAGTTTCGTGTCTCTTTGTGGTCATTTTACTACATTTTGTCGTTGCAGTCATTTTTGTCTATTTACCTATGTATTTTTTGTACCCTTTTCCATTGTTTTGTGTTTCTTTGTGGTTGTTTGACTTCTTTTTTTCTTTTCTTTTTTTAAAAAAACATTTTTGTGCTTCTTAGTTTTCAGCTGTCTTTCCTTTTTTATTTTCTTGTGTTTTTGGGTGTTTTGTGTCACTTTGTGGTTGTTTTACTTTGAAGCCACTGTCTTTTTGTATCTCATTGCTGTTCTTTTGTTTACCTTTTGAGACAATTTGTTTTAGTTCGCGGTCGTTTCCCTTTTTGTAGTTGTTTTTGTAGTCATTTTGTGTGACTTTTCAGTCATTTTGCGTCTGTACTTCTTTTGCATCGCTTTGTTTTTAAGTTGGGGCCATATGCAATTATGTTTTGTCTCTTTGTCTCTTGAATTTGTGTCTTTTCACGTGTGTTTGTCTCTGTGTAGTCATTTCCCGGCTGTCAGAAGCTATTTTTTGTTTCTTCCTGTAACATCTTGGAGATGAAGCTGAACTCACAGATGCTGCTGTTGATTGAGAAACTGCAGCTCAACTGTGTTTAGTTTCTGTCGAAGATGATGAGAAGTTTCCTGTCTAATGCTTCCTGCATGCTGGTTCTCCTCTCCACGCATATTACATGAATATTTTATTGCACACTATACAAAATATGGCCTCCTGACCCCCTGGGCCCCTGGTGCTGTGCCCGGCAGGCCTCTTCAGTAATCTATCTGTGCATGTGGATGTGACCTACATGTTATTTATGTAGCCTGCATTGGAGATGTGTAACAGTGGGTTTCAGCAGCAGTTAAAGTAAGCAAGTTGCTCCACTTGCAGCCTGAAAATCAGTTTGTGGGACAAGCAGAGACGTTTTATTTAGACGAGTCAAAGCGGACCGATCTGATCGCTAAACTGGTGCTTGGTCTGAAAACAGAAGGCACAGGGGAAGTAAAGTAACGTACAGTCTCTTCAGCATCCTTACCTCCGTCAGAGTAGGTTTCAGTGCCATATCCATCCTGCAGCCCGTTGCTCCACGTCCCCTCGTACCGAGCCCCGCTGGCCGTGCTCTCCAGCTGCCCGTAGCGACCTTTGAACCCCTGCGTCCACTCCCCTCTGTACTCCCAGCGGCCCTTGCTCTCCACGCCGATGCCATGCCGCTTTCCCTGCGCCCAGGTGCCCTGGTAGCTGTTCCCGCTGGGCCACGTGTACACGCCCAGGACCTCGAAGCCGTGGCTCCAGGCGCCGGCGTACTCGCCCTGACCCTGGGGCCCCGTGCAGACCCCTCGGCCATGGGCCTTACCCTGCTCCCACCCCCCGCAGTACGACCCCCCGTCATCAAAGTCAAACCTGCCTCCAGTGGACATGCATGAAACAGGTTTAGGCAAATCCTTAGAACGTCAAGAAACAGAAAAAACAAGGGCCCGGTTCACTCAGAAGGAGCAAGGAGGGAGGAGGCCTCGTCTGGATCAGGTAGCATGGAGGTGCAGGGCCTCGACTCTCCCTCTGCTCTTAGTTTAGGATGCAAAACACCGGCTCCTCGTTTTAGAAACAGCAGGACGCGGGCCGAAGAGCATCGCCTTACGACAGAGAAGCAATCCGAGCCTCAGCGATGGGTCTGGAGTGACGAACACAGCGGCCGTGCATGCTGCTTCCCATGGGCATGCAGGCTCAGAGTGCTTCTCATCCTCCTCCTCCTCCACTTCCTCCTCCACCTTCCTGCTCCACGCAGGCCCGTCGCCTCGGCCGTGCAGCGGGGCGCTCCAGACAAGCGAGGTCTAGGCTTTTCCGGCAGTCCCACAGGCCCTCAGAGCGGCGGTGGCAGCAGCAAGCGACCGAGCTCAATCAGACATTAGAGCATCCCCACATCCCTGCCGCACCGGCACACAGATACAGGACAGGGATGCTGCTGCTGCGCTGGTACGCCATTTAAAAAAAAAAAAAAAAAAAAAAAAGAGAGCAGAGGAGCAGGGAAGTTGAGGATATTTCTCTATAGCATGGCCTGGAAACAAGCAATCCAGGCTAACGCTCGGCAGACACACACATCCAAACACACTCGCACACACGCCTCGGCAGACATAACGGAGTGTGAATATCTCCTTCCCTTTTCCTCCCTTCTCCTCCTCTCTGCTCGGCTGGGATCTAAAGACGACTCTCCCTCCTGAAGAAGATGAGGATGCAGGAGCAGCAAACAACAAATTATTCCTCCTCTTTTCCCTTTGTCCTCTCCATCCCAGCGCTCGCCTAAATCTGGATTGTTGTGGTAATATCCCAATTCCACCAAGTCATCTGTCCTCTCTTGTTTTTCGGCCTCTCTCTCTCTCTCTCTCTCTCTTTCGCTTTCTATCTCTGCCTCTCTCTCTCTAAAATCTGCTCATTACAGGACTGTTCCACCCCAGCCAATACCCCTCCCCCACACACACTCACACACACACTGAACACACACTCCTTCTCGCGGCTCTTAAAGAGATAGAGACGGAGGGATGGTGCGAATAGCTGCATGTATGGAGCTCGCTGCTCTTTCCCGTTGGGGATACAGGCTGCTTTTCCTAATTATCCAGCCTCATTTCAACCCTCTCGCTCTCACACTCCTCCTTCCAGATGGAAATCTGGTCAGTCAGCAATCTGTTTTCCTGATAACTGGGGGTTTTGTGCACTCAGTGATCCTGTGCCGCTCTCGCCCCAGCTAATTGTTGTTTGTCTTTTTTTTTTTTTTTCCCCCCCTTGTCATCATCAAACCAATAGACTGTAGCTGTCACTTGACTGAGATTCATTGAGCATCACTGGCTGACCTTAAAGAGCAGAAAGGCCAAAGACCTGCAAATGAATGAGAGCGTGGGATGAAAATGCACGAGCAAATACAGACGTCTTCACTTTTAGAGCATGATGTTTGGTAACCATTTTACTAATCAATGACTGGTATTGGAAATCAGTGAGTCACTGACCTGCTCGATTCAAATGGTGAACAGGAACGGTTGTCAGAGGAGAGATACTGTAGATCAAACAGAGACAGAAGGTGGTTTAGAATTTTCCAGTTACCTTATTTTTTATTCATATATGCAGAAGTATATTGCCCAATAGCCTACCTCTGTTAAACAGGTAATTAGCATCAGAAGGAGATAATAAGGACAAATTAAGTCGAGCTACAAGGAAAAGGTGTGATGTTAAACTGACCTACATAAAAACTAAACAAATAGAGGATACATAAATAAAGTTAATAACATGAAAATATAAATAACAAAAAAAAAAAGAGTCAAATCTAAAAATAAATTACTGAAACAATTTATTTTA